GGCGGCGGGCCGGTCAGCAGGCCGGTGGGCTGGGCTCTTCGGCCGGCGGCCGCGCACCGCGCGGGTGGCCGCCGTGCGGGTCCATGGTCTGCGAATACAAGCAGAGGAAACTCGGTAACTGGGGGTTCGGCCGCCGGAGTCCCCACCCCGCCAGCCCCCCATGGGCCCAGTATCACCCAGCCGCCCTCGCGCGGGCCGGCCCCACTCCCAGTGCCTGAGCACACACGCACCCTTTGGCACCCGCGCAGCCTGGGTAGCCGGGACTGATCCCGGGCCGCGCCGCTAGCCGCCTCCCTCTGCGTCCCCGCAGATCCCTGCGGCGAGGGCGCCGCGGCGAAGAGGCTGCTGGTTTCGTAGAGCGACCAAAACCCAAATCTGCGAAGCCATCACGCACACGTACACTCGCGCGCGCACACACACACAGACACTCACACGCACGCCCTCTCCCCTCCCCCACTGCCCGAAGGTGTCTCCGAGGAAAAGGCCGGGGTGCACGCTCTCTCTGTGCCCCCCTTCACTCGAGGTCCAGCTTTTACTGCATTCCGCTTAACCGAATAACCATGTTAATTAAGCGAGTAATTTTATTGATTGTAACTCAAGAGTTGTTTTTTTTTTTTTTTTAAATAACCTTTCTTTTCTTTCCTTTCCCATCCCCCTCGCCATGCGGCTTTCGGTCCAGTCTTCAGAACCCGTCATCGTCCTCACGCCACAGCAGGGCCTGGCTCGCTGCCGACGCCCTCAGCACCGCGCCGGGACCCCGAGCTCTTCCTGGGACCCGGGCGCCCGCCGCCGGCGTCACCTGGCCGGCCACGCCGCAGTGCCCGGCTCGCTGCCCGAAGATGGGCGCTCCTCAGGAGCCCACAACACTCACCCCGCCCCCCAAACTCGCCTAGGGTTTTCTTCTGCGTATTGGGGGCGGGGGGAGGCACTTTGAGTGCCAGAAATTGTTCTCTCGATGCCCCAAATCCTCATGGATTCTCTTCCTTTCCGCGTCTCCGGCGCTCAGAAAGCCCAGGTCAGGTTCGGCCCTCCCGGCGCGCCCTAGAAGGGCTCGGCCCGGCCCAGCACACCTTCGTCCTTGCCCCAGTCCCCGCAGATCCTCTGCCGAGGTCGCCCACCCCCACCTCCCTCGAGGGCCACCGGAAAACGCCCCCCATCTCCCTTTTCTAGTTCTCCCCACCCCCGACTCGGGGCATCCCCTCCCAGGCGAAATCCCGGACAATTTCTAAGCTGGGTGAGGAGCGACGGAAACCCCGCGGGGCTGGGAGCCCCCAGTCCCTTCAAGGGCGCTTACTCGCCTAGGTTTTGCATATTTCTCCTTTCTCAAATCCGCATTGACAGTGTTTAATAACAATTCCAGCAAGAGACAACCGAGCTCAATATTCCTAATTGTGAACTTTCCAGAAAACCTTCCTTGGGTGTTTCTTTTACTTTTTTTTAGCCAATAAAGATGTTTTCCATTTCACGAATACCATTTTAAATTGTTATATTTAATGCTCCGGGTCCTACAACGTCTTATTTGCTGACTATTTTGTGTCTGATTTAATCTATAACCGAAAACATAATGTATTAAGTGAATACATATTTACTCAGCTGATAAGCTTTTTTTTTTTTTTAATATTTATTCGGAGAGAGCTTTTGCATTGTAAATAAACGGGGACTACACAAAGAGTCCTCTTCGACTCACAACTTCATACAAAAGGGTTTGGGCTCTCTTCCCCCTGGGGACTGCAGGAGCTCTCCCCCGGTCTAACAAATCAGCCGGCCGCCGCCACCCAGGCCTGCAACGCCTGCGCCAGGCGACAGTCTCCGGCAGCGCGCGACGAGGGGCTGCCTGGGACGCTGGGGAGGGGCTGCAGTCTGCCTAGGGCCTACAGGCCGCAGCTGAGGTCGGCGCCTAGCGAGCCCCGGGGGCGCCGGGCGGGACAAAGGGAAGGGAGGAAGGGGAGGGCAGTTGCGAGCCTGCGGCTTCAAAGGCGCCGAGGGCGAGAGGGGTTGGGGCTGCGCAAGGGGGTGAGGGCTCCCCGCAGCCCCCGGCGAGGCGTAAGTACTGGACTTTTGTCTTGCGTTTTGTTTTTGTTTTTCCCCTAAAAGAAATTACAAATTTTCTGAGAAGGCGCAGGAGTTGCTTGCGGTTCTCCGGATGCGGGTTAGCTCCTAAGCAGCTCTTGGATTCCCCCGCCCCGCGGGGACCGCATCGCTGGGTTCTCACCAGTCCGCGCCCTTTGACGCACACAGGGGCGGTGGCAGGCTGCTCCTGCGCGGCCGCCGCTCCGCCGGGCCCAACGGCTTGCTTTTGTGTTCTCCGTTCCCGGAGAGAGGCCGCGCCGCACCGGCCGGCAGCCAGCGCGGCTCCCGAGGGCTGCGGGCTGGTACTAGCGCGTAGCCGGGCGAGGTCCGCGGCCACTCGGCCCGAGCACAGCTCGCCTCCCGGAGTCGAGGCAACGATTTCCAGAGTCTGGGGCCCCGACCCCTCCCCCCCAGATCCAGAGGCCTAGGCAGATCGCGGCCCAGCAGGCCGCAGCCCCAGGTCGGGGGGTGGGGTAGAAGGGAAGACACCGGGTGACCGAGGCAGGAGCCGGCACCTTGGCAGAGACCCGCGCGTGGGACACCGAGCTCCGCCACAATTGCAAGAGCTACCCGGAATCATTGCCCCTCCTTCCGCGGCCACGGTTCTTTCAGGTTTGCTTTGTGTTTAACTTTTGCATCTAAAAATGCGTGCTCGTTTCCGCAGCTAGGGGGATCAGGACCCGGGTCCCACCACCTCTTTCGGGGCCATCTCTTGGCGCCGGCCGTCGCGGGATCTGCTGACCGCTCCGTGCGCGGGCCGTTCTGGCGCCGCAGAACCCGCTCCCTACGAAATTGCCTCGCCCGCCTCGGAGAAAAGAGATCAGGGCCGTGGCCCTAGCTCCTGGGAGCTCACCCGCCCGTAGACCCCGCCACGCAGCGCACGTCCGGAGCCCTGCTCTCTGTCTGCCACGCGCGATTTCAAACCTGCCGCGGTGCCCGCATCTCTAGGTCCGCTCCAACAGCTCCCCACCCCCCAACGCCTTCCCCAGAAAAAAAAAAAAAAAAAAATTCGGTATGGTCTGAAATGAATTAGGCTCCGCGAAGCGAAATCCGAAAAACCTCAGCCTTAGCCCTCCGCACCCTGCCCTGCTCCACGCCTAGCGGAAGGCCGGGAGTTCCTTTAGCAGCGGCCGTAGCCACCGCGGAGCGACCAGCCGGCTCTCTGAATCGTGGAGCGACCGGGCGGGGCCGACCCGGTACTGTTGGGGGGGGAGGGGACAGGGGTGGGTGGGCAAACAATTGGGGGTTCGTTCGTGGTTCCGCAGAGCTGGGCTCCTGTTGGCGGCCACCGGGAGAGACATCGCAGACAATTCGCCCCCAAAACCTGAGCCACCGCGCGGCTCCAGCGGACGCAGCCCGGCGATCTCTGTCCTGTCGCGATTATTTATTTTTAATGCTGGTGTCGATGGAGACAACAAGCGCTCAGATCAAAGCAAGGACGCATTACGGGGGGAATTTTAAGTCGATCGATAAGATTTTTTTCAGAGGAAAAAAAAAAATTGCTCTCCTCTCTAGTCATCTTAAAAAAAAAAAAAAAAAGACTGCTTTACATCCTAACGGATTTTTAAAAAGGGAAAACAAATATTTCTTAAAATCACAACCTTGAATTTCTCTTGCTAAAAAAAAAAAACCAAACCAAATATATATATGTAAATCCCCCCCCAGCCAAAGTAAAAATAAAATAATAATAAAAATACAAAACCAAAAAATGAAAGCAATTTCAGTTACTTACTGGAGGCTGTTTCCTGGATACAATTGAATGCAATACAATTAAATCAGTAAATGTGACTTTGTTTTGTATTCCTATTGGTATTTTCAATGTGCTGACTGTTGCGCCGAACATGCACCGCTTCCACAACAACGACTCTAGCAAGCCCATCCAGAGCGGCTCTCAAACCTGCAGCCCGGCGCGGCGAGCCACGGGCCCTGCATACTAATAAGCTAGTGCCACTCAGCCCCGAGCAGCCCGCGCGCTGATTGGCCGCGCGGTCCTCCACGGCCGGGAGCTCGTGCCACTCATTTGGCGTAAACAGGCCTCCCAATAGGCTGGCGCGGAGCCAGAGAGCTGCCAATCAGGGAGCAGCAGGGCTACTACCGAGCCCGATGGCGCCTAATTCAAGCTAGGCGACTGCGCAACTCCTCTGCGCAGATCATTGCTGCTGAATGGGAATGCGGTGGCGGAGGGCGGGAGAGTGAGCAGGGGTGAGTGGGAGCGCGTGTCCAGGCTGAGGGAGACTGGTGGTGTTTTTTTTTGTTTTTAATTTAAATCCAGCAGGTCTAACATTTGGCTTCTGGCGTACAGAAGACCAAAAGAAGAAACAGTCACACCCATGAGAACCGAAGCATTTTTTAAGGGTAGAATCTGTTTAGCAGGTGACTGCACCAAGGTGCAGGTAGGCCCAACCTCCAAGCCCAGAGGCCTCGCTGGGTTTCCTGGCCTTTGCGCCCTTCCGCCGCGTGCTCGGACCCGAGCTGCAGACAGACTGCATGCCCGCGGCCTACTTGGCCCCTTTCTACCCCTGCTTTGGGAATCAGCAAGAGGGAAGAGGTCCTGCTCCCTTGGCTAGCCTATGGGGCAGCTCTCCGTTTTTATCTCCTCTTGCCACATATTGGAACAGAGTTACAATCAAAATGAAAATTGGAAACCATTGCTAAAATAAGGATTACCCATT